ACGGGACCTGGCAGGGATGCCCTCTATCCCCCCTCTTGTTCATGATTACACTTGAACCTTTGCTGCAAGCACTACGCCAACATCCCCGTAAAAAGGGGATAGTGATAAGAGGTCAGGAGTTCCTTGTATCCGCTTATGCGGATGACGTTTTGTTGACCCTTACAGAACCAAAAGAATCCATGGAAGCATTACAAGAAATCCTTTTGCAGTTTGGGGTTTTCTCTGGATATAAGGCTAACTTAGACAAGTCCAGCACCCCACCGATGGGCATGTCTGCGGGCGACATGGCGGCATTGGGGGCCACTTATAGCCATCGGCGTCCGCAGGAATTTTTCCAGGGGGGGGCATAATTGTAATGACATCCATGCTTGGTACCTTTTTGATAGTGTCATGAAAGGGAAGGGGCATAGCCATTATCACATTAAGCCAGGGTGAATAGCGTTTTCACAACTATGGTGTCAGGAATATAGGTTTGTATTCCTGACACTATAGTGTTCCTTTAAGCAAATTAAAGGACATTTCTGGTCACCATAACAACTTCACCTAAATGAAAATGCTAAGATGCCTGGAAGCCCCTGGGTGCTTGCTTTCCTTTAATCGCTCTCAAATGGTTTAAGCCCAAAGGCTTCCTCCAGCTCCAGGTCGCTCTGTGGTATTTGGCTTCTGAAACAGAGTGTCAGGAAGTGCAGATTGACGTCAGGCATGGGTGCCGCTGATTGGCTACAGTGGTCAGTTGACGCTCTAAGCCAATCGCTAGTTCCCGGTTCATAAAATATTTTTACTTTTTTATGAATGGGGAGCTACTGATTGGTTTAGAGTGCCAGCTGACCGCTCTAGCCAATCAGCAACACCCCTACCCAACGGCACTCTGTGCTTCCTGACACTCAGTAAATAAAAGTGAACACATTAATACTGATATTTTTTTACCTTTGGAGATGAGTAGGTCCAGCGTTTCCCTGCCAGGCCCAGGTACCAAAGCCTTATGATGTGGTGTCCAGAATAAAGTGGAGGGTTCACTTCATTTGTCCTTCCTGCTCCAATCTCCTTTTCCTCTCCTTCATTTGACAGTCTTTTTTTTCTTCTGACACTGTATTCTATCCTTGGCCCCTTTCTGCTCTTTTACCTTTCTGCTACTTTCTGCTTATTTTGCGCCCTTCTGCTCCTTTCTCATTCTGATCCCTTTCTGCTCCTTGCAGACCCTTTCCGCTCCCTTTTCTACTTTACCTTTGTGCTCCTTGCTGTCCCTTTGTGCTCCTTCCTGCTCCTTGCAGGCCCTTCCTGCTCATTCTCCTACTTTATGTTTGTGCTCCTTCTGCCCCTTCCAGCTCATTTCTGACCCTTTCTGCTCCTTCCTGCTCCTTGCAGGCCCTTCCTGCTCATTCTCCTACTTTATGTTTGTGCTCCTTCTGCCCCTTCCAGCTCATTTCTGACCCTTTCTGCTCCTTCTACTTTACTTTTGTGCTGTTTTACCTTCCAGCTCCTTGCTGACCCTTCCTGTTCATTTCTTTATATCTATAGGCTGCTGCCCCCCCAAAGTTATGGGCTGCTGCCCCCTCCCCAAATCTATGGGCTGCTGCCCCCATCCCCAAATCTATGGGCTGCTGCCCCCATCCCCAAATCTATGGGCTGCTGCCCCCATCCCCAAATCTATGGGCTGCTGCCCCACAAATCTATGGGCTGCTGCCCCAAATCTAAAGGCTTCTGCTGCCCTAAAAATCTATGGGCTGCTGCCCTCCTCTCTAAATCTATGTGGGCTGCTGCCCTCCTCACCTATGGGCTGCTGCCCCTCAAATCTATGGGCTGCTGCCCCCAAATTCCATGCGGGGCTGCTGCCCCCAAATCTATGGCTGCTGCCCCTGGGGCCTATGGGCTGCTGCCTCAAATGCCTATGGGCTGCCTCCCCAAATCTATGGGCTGTTGTCCCCTCCCAAATCTATGGGCTGCTGCCCCACCTAAAGGCTGCTGCTGCTGCCTCAAATTCCAAGGCTGCCCCTCCCAAATTCCATGGGCTGCTGTCCCCCCAAATTCCATGGGCTGCTGCCCCCAAATCTAAAGGCTGCTGCCCCCAAATCTATGGGCTGCTGCCCCCCATAAATCTCCATAGGCTGCTGCCCTCACCCATGGGCTGCTGCCCCCAAATTCAAAGGTTGCTGCCCCCCAAATACCCAAAGGCTGCTGCCCCCCCAAATTCCAAAGGTTGCTGCCCCAAATTCCAAAGGCTGCTGCCCCCCCTAAATCTATGGGCTGCTGCCTCAAATCTAAAGTGCTGCTGCTGCTGCCCCTCAAATCTATGGACTGCTGCCCCCTAAATCTATGGGCTGCTGCCCCCAAATCTATCTGCTGCTGCTGCCCCCTTCTCAAACCTTCCCCCCCATCCCTCACTTACCTGATCTGTAGGCTGTCTCTGGCTGCATGTGTTGTTCCCCTGCGGTTTCAATCAGCAGAGAGAAGCAGGGATAAGATGTAGCTTCATATCCCTGTCTTTCTCCATACACTGCGCCACCTACTGGCCGGCGCCGGTATTGCAGTTCATTCTAAATCTCACACGAAAAAAGCAGAACAAGCTGAAAAATCCAGGGGGGGGCAGGTGCCCCCCCTTGCCCCCCCCTGCGGACGCCCATGCTTATAGCATACCCATAGTAAAAGACCACCTGAAGTACCTAGGGATACAATTACCAAGCGACCCAACCAAAATATATCAACTAAATTATACTCCCTTATACGCACCCTAATACGAGATATAGAAAAATGGCAAGATAGTCCCATATCATGGATTGGACGTATACATACAGTTAAAATGAATGTCCTTCCCCGAATATTGTTCCTCTTCCAAACACTACCAATCAAACTACTTAAATCCGATCTAGCCCACTTACAAAACGCTATTGGAACGTTCATTAGGCAGAACCGACGGCACAGAATTTCCAGGGATATCTCATATAGACATAAGCAAATGGGAGGATTAGGCCTGCCAAATTTATATTATTATTACCTGGCAGCACAATTAGCACAGGTGGCCATGTGGCACGCACCACTGGAAGAGAGAAGATGGGTAGACCTGGAGTCCCTACTAACGGGGTCAGATCTCCCACAATTCCATATCTGGGTTCCCAGGGAAGATAGACCCATCCTTAGGACAAATTGCCCAGCTATATTAAACTCCCTGAGAATATGGGACGCCTCAGCACCTAAATATAAACTGGCCTTCTCTCCATCTCCATTGACTCCTTTATTGAGAAACAGGGCGTTCCCCCCGGGTATGGCAGAAAGGGATTTTACGAACATAGAAAAGGTGGGAATACAAAGGATCTGTCATATGTTCGAACAGGGGCAACTAGTTACATTTGAACATCTAACACAAGTAGTGCATCTCACCCCCTTCGGCTTCTTCAGGTACCTGCAAACTATGTCCAACAACCTCAGGTGCTATAGAGTGCTAGGAGATCCCAGACCTTTTTTGAGAGGATGTGCCTTACAGAAACAGCACAACGAGGCTTAATAACTAATCTCTATACACATATCTGCTCAGAAACAAGGGAGTGGGGAACTTTAGCTTACACGGACGCCTGGGAAAGAGATCTAGGGGAAGTAGAGGGAGTAGAGTGGAGAGAAATATGGGAAGCAAACACCTCACTTTCCATTTGTGTAACCCTCCAAGAACAGGCATATAAAACAATGTTTAGGTGGTACACGACACCAGTGATATTATATAACATGAAACAAACACCATCTGATATCTGCTGGAGAGGATGTGGTCTTAAAGGAACATATGTTCACATGTGATGGGAGTGTCCCCAAGCACAATCCTTTTGGGCTAAAATATACAACCTGATCAAACACATTTTCCATAGGGCGCCAAGCCTAAAGCCATAGACATACTTACTTAATAGATCTTTGGATGATTGAACGAGGAGGGAACAGAAACTGATCCACAAGATCACCTTAGCCGCAATAAGAACAGTAGCACAAACATAGCTACAGACCACACTCCCATCAATCTAGAGGGTCATATCCAACATTAAAGAGGTATACCTAATGGATAGCTTGACCGCTCGACTAAGAGGGACCATGCCCAGCTTCGACAAACTATGGGACCCCTGGCAGAACAGCGATCTATGTAGGCCACCAGATGTAGCGTAAGGGCCATATGGGACCGTGGGAGGCAATAGACATCCCCCAGAGGACTCAGCACAATACCAGTATGCACCGACTTGACGTAGGACCTTACCCCTTCCCCCCCCTTTTCCTGTCCTATCTTTCTCACCACTATATCCACTTTTTACACACTCCTTTCTATTTAGGTTTTTTTTTATTTTATTTTTTCTCTTTCCCAGCATACAACAATACAAGCTAGATTAGGCTAAATGCACCAACCACTACCACATGGTGTACTGACTGTTAACAGTGAAACGATTAATGGAAAATAGAACTCATCCTCTTAAACGAGGGGGCAGAACACAGAGATCACAGGGGTACCCTGCCACGAAACACACCCCTACTACACCATAATAAGAGAGTAAAATATGAAGGATGAGAGGAGCTCTCAGAACGTAAGCTAAGTTTATGATCTTATGATTTTAAGTTACAAAAATCCTTGACAAGTGGCCGGATAAGCCCAATGTTAAATGTATTTTGCTGTGTTTTGATATATCTTGTATCGACAGATATATACCTATGTTCAAAGATCCTGTATAATGATGGGCTTTTGCACAAGCCATAAATGCTACTGTTTTGCATGCTACTTTTGTCAAGATTAAGAAATAAAGAAAAAAAAAAGTGCATTTTAATTTTTGCCACTTTAGTTTTCCGTCTGCAAACGCAGGAATTGTCTGAAATTGACAAGAGAATTTCAAGTCAAGTCTAAAATAACAACGCTGGAATAAATTGCTTAGTTTGAGTATTTAGTTCTGCTATTTTGCCTACTATTTACAATTTCCTGGTCAATTGCTGACCAGCGTCTTGTGTTGTACCTGTGATGTAAACCAATGTTTCTTCATTATAGGTACACCGGCAGATACATTGCGATGAAGGTGGCTAGAAGGATTGCAGGAAGCTAAGTGAGTGCTTTGATTGTACATCAATACACCAAGCCTGCACGATTTAGTCCATTTCTCAAGTTCATTGAGTGTTTTATAGCTTGACCTCAGAGTGAAGCTTCTCACTAGATGGGGCCGCTGTCCTCCGGACTAGATGTGTTTACATTGGCCGAGCACTCATTGAGTAACAGTTTATATTAGAGATTAAGCTAATTATAGCTCTGTTTTAAGCAACCCTTATTCTTTGCCAAAGTAAAGTCAAAAATTGTAAATTTGCTTTCGGCTTTTCATTCTTTTAGCATCTACTACATTTGTAACGCTCCGGATGTTTTAGGTGATCCGAGTGCTCTCTCTGAATCTCTGGTTCCAAAAGCTCTTTCGCCATGAATATCTGACCTTTGGCCTCTGTAGAACCTTCTTTGTACATCTGAATTTAAGAAAATGTTCTAAAAAAAATTATTTTTACATTTTCCAAGACACAAAGAAGCCTCATGGTTCTAAGTTCAGTTTCCAAAACCACTTCTTTACACAATGCATCAACATCTTTTTAATTTTCCTCTTTTTCCCACCAATTTCTCCTCTGCTAATTATATACCTTTTTTTTTTTTTTTTTTTAAAGGACACAAGGGGCTTTAATTTGATGTAACATATATATATATATAAATTCACATTTATTATTAAAACAAATGCAAAAATAACAGAACTTTTTTTCACAGTTTTTGCAATAATATGTGCATAATATGGCCAATTTAGGAAAACTAACAATATAAATTCATTTATGTGCCTTTATTTACAGAGTATCTCATATGTGAAGGATTTCTGTTTATTGTGAAAGTTACAGGTCACAAAATACAAAGCGTAACATAAAATGTCAGTTTTGCATTTTTTTTAGACATCTGCATGTTTGTCTTGTAAATGTAATAGCCATCACAGAAAACAAAATTGCCACACAAAAGTATATATTTATATAAAGTAGACATCACAGGCTATTTACCTAAGGTTATTTTGACACTTTTTACATACAGACATATAACAAGGTTTTTGTAATGTATATTTCGTAAAGCTGGTGTGTGTTATTCCGGCACAGAACCCCATATTGTGTTCAGCTACATCTGCTGAGTATAACGATACCAACATTGTATGCCTTTGGCACTATTCTGTGAAGCTACAATGCTATATAATAGACAAGGCTATTTCAGTTTCTATAGTTAGAATCAAATAGAGTCAAATAAACCCACAAAGGCCTTCAATTTGAGTAAGCAAACCTCCAGGGTATCTTATATGGCGTATATTGTGCCTTAACTTGCTGCCATTTTTTTTTACTAATTTATGTCAATGCTTGTGATGAAAGATTTTTAAAAAAATGTTTGCATACATGTTGCATTTTTGCTTGGTATGTTGTACATTTGATATGCGCCACTGTAATAAACACACACACACCGCTGGGACTTCCACTTCCACATATGTTCGTTTCCAATCATCTGAGAGAAGCGGTGTTCGGTGGGAGCATACTCCCATACAAGATACACTGTAAGAGCGTATGCATAAACAATTTAATCGTATGTATTGTTGTATATTTGTACTCCCAAAAGAGACCGACAGCACAGCCTGATTTCATGGAACTATTTTGGGCAGGCGCCTCGTGTGCAGTGGGTCTAAACTATACCCCGGTGGCGTTTCAGATAGGTTTGTGAGATCTGAGCCATTTTTGGATATAATGGGCGCTCAGATCCAGGCTATCCGGGGATATAGGACTTAAGGGAGTACCTGATTGTTCACTATATGTTTTAGGGTGTTTTTGTTATGTGTGTATTGAACCTGAGAGTTAATGTAATTATGTGTGTGCTTTTACTGAAGTCCCCTCTCAGGTCCAGTGGGGAATGCCCATGGAATATGTAGTTAGAAACCCCTTGCATGGGGAGTTGCATATAAGGCCAGTTGTGGCTACCATTACACCAGTTCAGCCCTGCCTCGTGATTGTAGGGAACTCTATACATGCTTTGTATCGCTTTGATTACTGCTTGGGAATACTACAGCATTGCTCATACTAGGGGGGAAGGACATCTCTGGTGGCGGAAACCACTCTTCTCTCTGGGTGGCCACCACAACACCCTTTCCTCCGTGATCTTGCAATGCCTCCTGTCAGAATTCCCGAACGTCCTGTCACAGACAGGATGCCGGTGAAACTACCGAATTTCGTCCTATCAGAATGAGAACAGTTTGTCCATTCTTGTTAGGAAGATATTTGGTACTTTTAGGTTGGTTCGAAGTTTCATTCAAATTATTGAAATCCTGATCCGTGCATCTTGCAGCCGCTTAGTAGATAGCTCGCTGATTCCCACTGTATTAGGGAGCTATCTACCAAATTGGCCAACTTGACAAATACGAAGAAAAGATTACTTAGTATTAATAAATAACGGAGACTGCCCTTATTCGCTATGCCGCGGGTAGAGGCGTGTCTATTAAACAGTGAGCATCCTGTGGCTGCTCACTGTTGTAAAAAAAATAAAGCCCCCCCTCCCCCCAATAAATGGCCCCATGGAGTGGGGGCTATTCAACTAAACGGGGACATAGGGTTTCATAGTGTGAGGGGGCCAAGCGGGTCCCTATGTCTCCCGTTTAGTTCCATAGCCCACTTGCAGGGCATGGGTGAGGGCACGGGGGGACACTATGTCCCCCCTGCTAGTTTATATATGCCATTTGGTGAGGGGGGCATTTTTAATTTTTTTTTATTTTATTTTTTTACACAACAGTGAGCAGCCATAGAGTGAGTGAAGACCTGGGGGGCTTAGGAAGTGGCAGGGAGCACAGCTTCCTACCGCTTCTATTTTTAAATATTACAAGGAAGGAGCTGCAAGCTGGTAGCCTTCTACTTGTAAGAAATAGAACGAACAAACACACACCAACATTTGGTGTTTGCTTGTTCGTCTGAAATTTCTATTCATTCCTTTGTCTTTCTGATGAATGAATAGACAAAATTCCCATCCGAATTTTGGACAGTAGCGAATGGCCAAGTGTTTAACTGGGCATGCGTGTGAATTTTACAGTGTGGGCAGATGATGTGTCCCACAGGGCCTTCATCTGCCCACACAAGGATGGCGGCATCCAGGACCTAGGTCCAGGCACGCAATAAAGATAAAAAAAATAGGTAATATGGGGTCTTAGGGGTATTTGGGAGTGACTAGGGGGGCAATTAGAAGTGGTGGAGTCAGGAAGGGGGGGGTAAAAAACAAACAGATGCGGCCATGACAGTGCCGCTTTAAGACTAGTTTGGCAAGTTGTTTCTTTAAACTACCACACAAACGCATACCATTTCTTAAAGAATGCACCTCAGGGTCTTTCAAAAGGATCATTTTTTTGCTACTGTAGTGATAATGAGCATTTTTGTTTAACTTTTTTTTTTTTACTTTGTAAAACTTTTTTAAATATGTTGTAACTTTTTTTTTAAAACTTCTTTTTTTACTGTAAATTTCTAACTAGCCTTACACTAAATTCTCCAATTTCCCACTAACTTCCTCCAATCCCAGCTAACCGATAAATAATACAAAAAATATTATAATAAATTAAATATTTTTAATAATAATAAAAAAAAAATGTTAACCCTCAGGAGTTAAACAAAAAAAACAAAAAAAATCAGGTCACAGTAAAATACTGTGATCTGTATTTTGATCACTGCAGTAATAAAAGGGCATTGAAAGGGTTAAGTTGTATTAAAATAGTATAAAGGGGGTTTGCATTTTAATAAACATGTTTTCTTTTACAGATAGAAACAGATCAGCACTGATCCGTCTCTCTCCACAGCTTACACGGAGGTGGAGGGAGGCGGGTCAGAAGTCCTTGCAGCACATGTGATCGCTGTAGCTGGCTGCGAGAGCGATTACATGTGCTGCTATAGTGCGATTGACTACTGGCGGTCTGCCTAGGACATCTAAGCAGATTGCAGCAGCATTAGACCTACAATTGATGTGATCTGGTGTTAATTTTAATAAATGACAGAAATTTTCAGTCATGAATCCTTAACGGCAGGACTGCCATGACAGAATATTTCCATTTAGCGTCACCACAGCGTGATTGTATGTCACTATAATCATTTTACCTCGTTAAATTGGCTCATTGAAGTGGTTATGGTGCCTGGGATCCCTGGAGCTGTCCCTCAATCCAGCGTTAAACTGTTTTCAAGCCATTTAGCACTGAATGAGTGTCCCACTGGAGGTATGGCTAAGGTAGAGATTACAAACATCCTCCTAGCCACAGCAGTTCATACTGGCAATGAATTATCCCAATTTTTCCCATCCCTGCTTGTAACCTTGCGTAATATTTTTGAGAGTCCTATTGAACCTCTCCACCAGTCCATCGGTTTGGGGATGGTATACCGATATCTTAAGGAGCAGTCATAGCTCCTTCATAAGGCGTGAAACAAAAGGGGTACACTGATTGGTATGGATTTCCTTGGGTATAGCAACTCTAGAAAATGTTTGTAATAGCCCTTTAGCTTTTGTTTTGGAAGCAGTATTGCGGAGGGGTATCGCCTCTGGATTGCGTGTGGCATAATCCACTACAACCAAAATGTACTGGTTACCTTTGGCTGTTTTCTCTAGATCCATGGCAATTCTATCAAAAGAGGTTTCAATTATGGGTAATGGGATAAGTAATGTTTAAGACACGTCAACTGACATTCTGAGCATGAAGCACAGAACCTTTTGACTTCCTTAAAAACCCCAGGCCAAAATAACTTCTCAAGATTCTTAACTGGGTTTTGTACACCCCTAAATTTCCCCCAAACAAATGAGAGTGGGCCAAATCCAAGACCTTTCTCCTAAACGGGCGCGGGACCAAAAGCTGTTCTATTTCATACCCGTTCTATTTAATCACTCTGTATAAGAGATCATCCCGTAAAAAGAAAGGAGGATTATTACGTTTTCCTTCTACAAGTACACCATTAACCTCTACAACTCCTTTAAAGGCCTGTTGTAACGTCATGTTTCTAGTTTGTTCCCTTCCAAAATTAAAACAACTGCGCATGCGTTCAGTCTGCTGTTTCACTTTTTTTCTCTACAGAGGGTATGGCATCAGCACTTGTGACTGGCATCTCATCTTGATCATAATCAAGCTCTAATCAGGACTTCACGTAATCGATTTGTCCCCCTGTACTTATCGTTTCTCATTTCTCGCTTTAACGTGCGTATTTTACTTTCTTAACAAAGAAGTCAGGGTGAGTACATGAAAAAAACACTACAGGCACTACATCACTTGCCAACTCCAGTGGCTTGGTGGTTACCTGCTTCTGCCCCAAGGTTCTAAAGTCAGGGAGATCCCGACCCCCTGCAATGAAGGTAATATCACTCTTTGTTTCTTTTTCCCCAGGGTCTGTACCGATTGTAAGATTTTCAGTACTCACTTCTGACATCACTTGTAGCAAGCTGGCAAGGTCTAGCGTCATAAACCACAGAAACTGTTTTCTTAAAATCTGAGGAATGCTTTATTTAGCAAGCCAGCCTTACTTTAGCCACAACAAAACATTGAACCGCTAAGCAGACCCCAGTAGTTTAACAAATAAAATAAAACGCTTGCAGAATATCTTCTCTTGCCTATGGCAGTCTCTTTCTCTGTCTCTCTGTCTCCACCCCAGCTCTACACAGGAGAGACTGATTCCCCTCTGCATAGGATTTATGTAGCTCCCTAATTAGTATTCTAAAGCAGCCCGATTTTAACCCCCTCTAGTCAGGGAACACTGAAAGTGCCATTCTGGGGCTAATATAGCGGTCTTCCCTCACACTGCTACAACATATACAGACACATTGCCATTCACACTTACAATGCCACACACAGATGCCCACTGACACATATAAGCGCAGATAAGTCCGAGAGATACTCAGATTGACACACATACAAATTTACATTGACAAATCCTGACATAGATGCAGAGATTCAAACACACAGATATACAAACACTGGCATACATGCACAGATGCTTACATTGACACATATGCATAGATACATTGCCACACACAAACAGATTGTGACACACTTAGAACCACTTACCCTCTCTCTCAGTCTAGCTCTCTTCCCTGTTGTCTTTAACTGCCTCCCATGGTGGCCCAGTGCTGGTGCTGCTATTTTTGGATTTGCTGGTGGTCCATTGCTGGTGCTGGCTATTTCTGGATTTCCTAGTGGTCCAGTGCTGGTGCTGACTGTTTTTTGATTCCCTGGTGGTCCAGTTCTGGCTATTTTTGGGTTCCCTAGTGGTGCAGTGGTATATATAGAATATCCTGTCCCTCGCGTTTTCAACACTCAGTCTTGAGTTAGAGCACAGGTTGCGCTCTGACTCACTAACTGAGCGCTGAAGCTGCAAGTGGGAGGATATATAGTGTAACAGCCTGGGGTTCAGAGTGTCAGATACACCACCGGACCACCAGGGGCCTAGCTGGAGGCATAAGCAGTGCAACAGCAGGCGAGCAAAATGTAAGTAAATTAAGCTGCTTGCAGCTTCTGTCTCTGGCGGACAAACAGAACTCCAGGCCCCAGTCACCGTCTAAATGTTTGCAACCCTGGTAGATCTGCCATTGGGCTAGTGCTTCCTAACTTGACCAAGCAATACAATCTCGTTTAGTATTAAAAAAAATAAAATCATATCGAAGGACAGTGCAAAGGGACTCCAGACACTATAACCACTTCATTAAGATGGCACAGTTACAGAACCTACAGTGTCCCTTTAACCATTTACCCACTCCCTTGTCCCTCCCTATCGTCCTTCATTCGGTGTCCCCTCGGCTCCACAACCATTAGCTCTGCCTCACCTGCTTCATTTCATGTTAAACCCCTACCCTCATATTCTGGCCTTTCACCTCCATAACCAATACATTGTCCCCATCTATAGTGTCAAGCAAACTGTATAATACTGTACATCATCTCGGAGAATGGTAAACTGGCAGGGAGTGGAGGAAAGTAAACATATCGGAGAATGGTAAACTGGTGGGAAGTGGAGGAAAGTAGACATCTCAGAGAATGGTAAACTGGTGGAGAGTGGAGGAAAGTAGACATCTCGGAGAATGGGAAAGTAGACATCTCGGAGAATGGGAAAGTAGACATCTCGGAGAATGGTAAACTGGCAGGGAGTGGAGGAACGTAAACATATCGGAGAATGGTAAACTGGTGGGAAGTGGAGGAAAGTAGACATCTCGGAGAATGGTAAACTGGTGGAGAGTGGAGGAAAGTAGACATCTCGGAGAATGGTAAACTGGTGGAGAGTGGAGGAAAGTAGACAATATTCTCTGTTCAGATATAAAGGATGAGACCTATAGCCTAGCTTTTACCTGCATTTCCTGATCTGCCACTGGGAAAACACTGAGCCTGGTTTCTAGTCAGCATTGCTCCTCTGGCCAAGTACCAAAGTCACTTATATATAACTCTTTTGCCCATGCCTATGTTTATTGGTTGCGACTGGCAGTGTAAATTCCACGTGCCAAATCTATATTTAGGGCACCATATCATGAGTTCTTTGTTTTGGGCTGTAACTTATAACTAAGAGTAAGCAGACTAGCCCAATGTTTCATTAACCCAACCGCCTTCCCAGCTCATAATTTACTCTGCTGACAGCACATTCCTGTCTGCTACTTTGTTTTCTCTGTCTTCCCTTGCTAATCCTTTAATAAGCAGCACAAATTGGGTCTATGTAAACAAACACACGCTAGTCTCTAAATAATCCAACATCAAACTCACTTCCTGTTAGAAATCCTGTCAAGCTCATAAATTACATAAAGGATGCTTTGGCTACAATGGGACCATGGACTGCGCTAGAATATCTTTATAGTGTGTAACCAAGGAGGGGTAGAGGGTACAGGGGAGGAAGGAAGTGCGGGTCACATTGTGACTGTGTGGAGACCACAAACAACACGAACACAGGCCATAGATTTACTGAAATGAGCAAAAATCACTTAATGTAGTGATTAGAATGATTTCCTCCAATGTAGGCCAAGATGGGTTGGAGTTTGTAGGGTTAACTGTTCCTGGGGCTTACATTGACAAGCATAAGGCTATAATCAAATAGTATGGGGATCAGAGACTATTGTTCTGTTAGTGGACACTGCTATTTTTATTTTTTCTTATTTTTTTTTTTTTTTTAAAGAGGACCAGAGAGGACTAGAATGCAGTCTTCCCAACTGCAGAAGACAACTGAGTCAGGATCTGAAGAAACTAAGACCTTTACCATGTAGAGATACTAGGCCAACATTGAAATAGATAAGTAGGACTGTAATGAAGGCATATGTCTGCCCAACTGAAGAAGACATCAAGATCAGGATCCAAATTGTTGGGTCAACATGGGAAAAGAACCACAGTAAGAGGAATGTCTGTCCAGCTTCAGAAGACCACTGGGCAGACCAGGATCGGAAGAGCCAAAAGCCTGTAGTGTGGAGGATTTCCATTTAAGGATCCCCTGAGACCTGTAATATAGGATACGTTTCTATTTACAATGGGGAACCACACACTTTACGGATCTACTTTCAGTCTCTGTTGCATACTTTTTTTTCTTTCATACTTTTCACCCTTACATTTCAATTTGTGTAACTGTCTTCCTCAGACTTGCCCCTCTTTCATTTTTCTTTTGAATTCAACTCTTTACTTGTCTCTTTTTACCCTCTTTTCATCTACCTCCTTAAATATTCCTAATTTTGCATTGGATCCTGTAGATGATTTTCTGCCAGTCAAGGATGAAAAACAGAATCCTGTAATGTGAAGTGAAGTCTCACTTGCTGAGGAGATCTGGAGACTTGTTGGTGAAGTGTTTTACCAGCAGTAGAGGAGTAAGGGAGGTCTGTAGTATGGATAAATGTTTGCCGAACAGGTTAGGAGAGCCCAAGTATGGAGTGTTGCCTATTCAGTGGAAGAGGAGAAACTGAGGCTTGTTGTTGAAAAAACTGACTGTCTGTCTAGGAGAACTTCTTACCTGTAGTATGGATGATTCTCTGCCAAAGAGCAGAGAGCAACCTGAGGCCTGTATTGTACAGCTTTGCCTGCACTAGACCAGAGGAGAACCTGGTATGTGTAGTCTGGATTGCCTACCCAGGAGAAAAGAAAAACCTCGGACCTTTAGTGTGGGTGATTGCTGACCCAGAAACAGAGGAGAAGCTTGGGCCATTAGTGTGGAAGATTACCTGCACAGGAGCAAAGTAGAACCTGGTGCATGTAGCATGGTGGACTGCAGGTACAGAAGCAGAGTAGAACCTGAGGCCTGTGGTGTAAAGGATTCCTGGTCTAGGAGAAGAGGAGAACCCAAGACTGTAATATGAAGGACTGTGTGTACATTTTGTTAGTTCTACATAGCTCTTACATTTAGGCAGTTGAGTCAGTGTCCAAAAGAAGTATTTAAGTATTCTTAGTTCAAAATTTCATTTGTGGTTTGTTTAATGTATTGTTAATAGAATAACACTAAACTGAATTAACTCTTTGAGTGCAAGGAAGGTGCTTAGATCACTGAGAGAAATAGTTCTTTGTCCTATGTGCACCCTACTACTTGTGTTGGCCAGGTGCTCTGTGTTTAGTTTCCTTTAATTAATATAACCCATCGGGTTAAACAATGGTCACGTGTGGACCATAAACCCTTCTCATTCATGGTGACCTGCGGTCGAAAAGATTTTTCAAGAAGGAAGCAAAACTGCTGGTTAAGTTTCCTGCCCGACTTCCTGTTTCTTTTTAATTTCTGAGTATCTTTGGAGAGGAAGTTACTTTACATGAAGCACCGGAGACTTTTTTTGGAGAAAAGGAGGGGGGGGGAGTTGGTAGAAAGCCACAATTCTTATTATGGTTACAAATAGAAACCCAGGTGTGGGAGACCTTGCCTTCACTGGCCTCAAGGGTCTCCTGCTTCACAAGAACAATCCACAATGTGTACCTACCCAGTGACAATTGTTACCATTAATAAAAACAGCATAAAACAAAGTCCTAGTGTTAGGCCCTATCTCACTATCCCAGGTGGTTTCCCTGGTATCCGTTGGATACTAAAAAGTGCTAAACTAACTTCAGAATTTTGTGCATGGGCATCACTGGGAGGTGGTTTACTGGCACGGCAGACCAGGAATGCCAGATTTTGGGGGGCATATTCACCACCAGTTACACAAGTTAAGCCCCTGAGAACCCCTTAATCTAGCATTGTTACCTCCCATACAAACTTCTGACAACATCCTTCACCATGTAGGGAGGCAAGATAAAATGCTACTCGTATTGTGCACAATTTTTTATTTTAACTATATTTTAGCACACACATGTAATCCTGCTTTAGTCTGTATTCCTGTACCACCTAGAATTTACAAATATTCGGTGGCAGTCTACAATTGATAGTGCTAAAGTGGAGATCGGATGGAATGAGAACACAGAACATTAGAAGGTCCAAGGATGCCGATCGACCCAGGTAAGAGTCACGCTGTTTAAAAACAGTTTTACTTTTTAGTGTGGGACAACATCTGGGGACTACTGGCGTGGTTATGGTGCTTAGACTGCTCCTTTAACCCCTTAAGGACCAAACATCTGGAATAAAAGGGAATCCTGACATGCCATGTGTCCTTAAGGGGTTAAACTCTTACAAAATGAGCAAAAAGACTTAACGAACCTGCACATCCACGCATTCTCACGAGATTTGAGAGACCTGTGAGTCTCACATTGTTTATTGTGAAAAAAAATGTACAAGATGAAATGCTTTCAATAAAAATGTATTTAATTTAAAAAAATACTTAAGATGCATGCTGGGAGAATTGTTTTATGCGCAAGAGACAAATAATGGAAGTGACCTCACACCGTTCGCACTAACCTACCCAGTGACTTCACACCGCTCGCACTTACCTACCCAGTGACTTCACACCGCTCGCACTAACCTACCCAGTGACTTCACACCGCTCGCACTAACCTACCCAGTGACTTCACACCGCTCGCACTAAGCTACCCTGTGACCTCACACCGCTCGCACTAATCTACCCGGTGACTTCACACCGCTTGCACTAATCTACTCAGTGACTTCACACAGCTCGCACTAACCTACCCACTGACTTCACACAGCTCGCACTAACCTACCCAGTGACTTCACACCGCTTCCACTAACCTACCCAGTGACCTCACACCGCTCACACTAACCTACCCGGTGACTTCACATCGCTCGCACTAATCTACCCAGTGACTTCACACCGCTCACACTAACCTACCCAGTGACTTCACACAGCTCGCACTAACCTACCCAGTGACTTCACACCGCTCGCATTAACCTACCCAGTGACTTCACACCGCTCGCACTAACCTACCCGGTGACCTCACACCGCTCGCACTAATCTACCCGGTGACTTCACACCGCTTGCACTAATCTACTCAGTGACTTCACACCGCTCGCACTAACCTACCCAGTGACTTCACACAGCTCGCACTAACCAAGGCATTTGCCTTGGGCGGCATTTTCCAGGGGGCGGCAAATGCTTGTTAGCCTTGCGGCTAACTGACATGCTGGGCTGGCGGGCGGCTGGCGAGGGAGCTCTTCCTCTGAGCTGTCTGCTCAGCTTCCTCGCGCACTGCAGAGTGAGGCTGGGAACTGGAATATGACGTCATATTCCGGCTCCCAGCCTCACTCTGCGGGCGGCGCACGAGGGAGCTGAGCAGACAGCTCAGAGGAAGAGCTCCCTCGCCAGCCGCCCGCCCAGCAGCCACTGGACCCCCTGGGAGAAAGAGAACCCCACCTTCCCCCAGCATTCCCAAAGGTAAGGAGGCTGGGGGGTAAATAAAAAAAAAAATGTGTTAATGTGTGTGTATGTGTGTATGTGTATCTGTTAGTGTAGGTGTGTCTGCTAGTGAGTGAGTGTGTGTCTGTTAGTGTGTGTCTGCTAGTGAGTGAGTGTATGTCTGTGTGTGTCTGCTAGTGAGTGAGTGTGTGTCTGTGTGTGTCTGTTAGTGAGTGTGTGTGTGTCTGTTAGTGTGTGTTTCTGTTAGCTAGTGTATGCGTATCTGTCAGTGTGAGTGTGTGTGTATTTAGAAGGCAGGGTGGGGGGAAGGGTTAGGGTAGCACAAAACCAGGATACACCACTGAGTACGGGTGTGTTGAGATATAAGGACGAGGATGCAATGATTTTAGGTCTGTGTTTTATATAATTTATTTTCAACACAAACCGAAAGTGTTATTCTAAAAAAAAATAAAAAAATCTTTATTTCACATAACTGCATTCCTGCCTGTGGCCAATTGCTGCCAGGTTCGGTAATTTGAATTTGTCCATTTATTTTTAGGCTACAATACTCAGCATTTGGCTCCTTGTGATTAATTTTATTAGCAAGTTTGGTAGCCTAGATCTCTCCCTGCATGTAGTGAAGGGTTAACTAGAGAAGGCTTTTCTGATCCCGAATAATGGTAGTGAAGTGCGTGGTTGGTAGGGATACACCTGCATGATTCTGAGTGCAGACTGGGAAGAGTTACATGGGGAATTCCTGCAGATCTTTTTGTGTGGCCAGTGATGGGTTAACTGGTACTGTCTTGCAGATCTTTGCGTGCAGACTTGAAGATCTGGCAGTGGGCAGTGAAAGGTTAAGTGGCGCAGTTTTGCAGATCTGTGCATACAGGCATTAAAGGGTTAAGAAATCTTACAAATCTATGAGTAGGCAGTAAAGGGTTAAGCAGTGCAGACTTGCAGATCTGTGAGTAGGCAGTGAGGGGTTAAGCAGTGTAATTTTGCAGATCTGTGAGTAGGCAGTGAGGGGTTAAGCAGTGCAATTTTGCAGATCTGAGAGTAGGCAGTGAGGGGTTAAGCAGTGCAATCTTGCAGATCTGTGAGTAGGCAGTGAGGGGTTAAGCAGTGTAATCTTGCAGATCTGTGAGTAGGCAGTGAGGGGTTAACTGGTGCAATTTTGCAGATCTATGCACACAGACATTGAAGGGTTAAGCACTCTTGCAGATCTGTTAGTAGGCAGTGAGGGGTTAAGCGGTGCAATTTTGCAGATCTATGCACACAGACATTGAAGGGTTAAGCACTCTTGCAGATCTGTTAGTAGGCAGTGAGGGGTTAAGCGGTGCAATTTTGCAGATCTATGCACACAGACATTGAAGGGTTAAGCACTCTTGCAGATCTGTTAGTAGGCAGTGAGGGGTTAAGCGGTGCAATTTTGCAGATCTATGCACACAGACATTGAAGGGTTAAGCACTCTTGCAGATCTGTTAGTAGGCAGTGAGGGGTTAACTGGTGCAATTTTGCAGACCTGTGCATGCAGACAATGAAGGGTCTTTCGTCTTGCAGATCTGTGAGTAGGCAGCTAGGGGTTAAGCGGTGCAGTTTTGCAGACTCCACACATTGTCGGCCCCTGGGGCCATTGTGTGAGGCCCAGGGTAGAGGCTCTCTCTCAGGTGATTAGACCTGGTGGGGATGTATAGCATGTGTGCTGTCTGGCTGCACTTGAAATGGGTAAAGGGGGGAAGGTGGGGTAGAGCTCAAGATGAATACATAGATGGAAGGAAAAAGTAACAGAAAAAACAAATCCATGAAATACGGCATAATATAAACATCCGAACATTCCGAATGGAACTCACAGTCAAAGCACTAAATGGGATCCCAGATCCCCTGCTCTACATTAAGCAGCTGAGAGCTCTCCTCTCTTATTGTGGATTGCATTTTATGTTTTATCGTTATATTTGATTGTATTCCCTACTTTCCTGTCTCTTTTTATATCCTTCTATGGGTTTTATTTGGCTGCAGGGGGATTTTGGCTGCAGAGCTGTGAAATTTTTCTTTGTTTATTATTTTGTTTCTTTGTAGGTCTTGTGTCACTCATATCTCTTTGTGTATATCCTTGGATAATGCATGTAAATAGCAACTATTTATACAGAGCTCGCTGATCAGTGTGTACAGATTTCATGCAGATAATTGTGTTGTTTATATTTTACATTTTCACTCAGAAAAAAACAGGCCCTTGTTCCTCCTGTGCATATTTAGAGCATCTGAAATGTAATGTCTTCAGGTAAGTTAACCCGGTATTAATTATTCAGAGAGAGCCAGTATCTTTTAACCTTCAGCTCCGGTGGAAATTCTCAGTGAACAGACCAGAGATCCCCAGGGAGAGAGAGTCTAAGTAAATAGCCCCAGAGAGAGAGAGACCTAGCTTAAGCCATTGTAGCTAGTAGCTTGTAACTTAATGAAAAAGAAGATATCAGATCTCCAATACACAGAGCTCACCCAGAGGGTCCCTGATCACCAGTCCATAGAGCTCAGTGATAGGGTCTTTGATCACCAATCCTCAGAGCTCAGCCCAGCGAGAGGGTCTCAGATCAGCAGTTAGCAGAGCTCAGCCCAGCAAGAGGGTCAAGGAAAACCAGTTTACAGAGCTCGGATCAACAGCCTGCAGGTCTCAGATCACTGGTCCTTTGAGCTCCGCCCAGAAAGAGGGTCACTGATCACCGGTTTGTTGAGTTCAGGCCAGAGAGAGGGTCTCTGTTCACCAGTCCATAGAGCTCAGCTCAGCGATAGGGTCTCTGATAACCAATCCTCAGAGCTCAGCTTAGTGAGAGTGTCTCAGGTAACCAATCCGCAGAGCTCAGCCCAACGAGAACGTCACGGCAAACCGGTTTACAGAGCTCAGCTTAACATAAGGTTCTCGGACTGGATATGAACACGCAAACACCAACGAAGAGGAGGCCAAAGAGCAGGGGAAACAACAACACACCCCCCTCCTTTCCCACCCGACAGACCCATTGACCTCACACCCCAGTTCACCCCTACCTAACACAAAACAATGAAAAGGGACATTCATGCTGGACACGAGATACACCCAGAGCCGCACATAACTAGTAGCCCGCACTACTAAATCCACGGGCAATGAAGCGAAATTGTTAAGAGAACTACTGTAAACGATGTACCAACACGTTGTCTACTTGTTAGTAACAATACTTATGCAAAACCGAAAATAAAGAATTTATAAAAATAAAAAAAAACATAAGGTTCTCGGATGAACAGCCTGCAGAGCTCTGCGAGAGGGTCTTGGATCACCAGTCTATAGAGCTCAGCCCAACGAGATGGTTTCAGGTCACTAATCCATAGAGCTCAGCCCAGAGAGTCTTGGATCACCACTCTGCAGAGCTCAACTCAATGAGACAGTCTTGGGTCACTAAACAGTTTACAGAGCTCAGCTCAATATAAGTGTCTCGAATCAACAGCCTGCAGGTCTTAGATCACCAATCCATAGAGCTCAGCCCAGCAAGAGGGTCTTGGATCACCAGTCCCCAGAGCTCAGCCCAACAAGACAATCTCGGGTCACTAAGCTGTGGTGCTCAGCCCAGCGAGAGGGTCTTGGATCATCAGTCAGCAGAGCTCAGCCCAACAAGACAATCTCGGTTCACTAAGCTGTGAAGCTCAGCCCAATGAGACGGTCTCAGGTCACTATTCCTTTGAACTCAGCCTAGCGAAAGGATCTTGGATCACCATAGCTAAACATTTATGTTCAACAAGCTATAAGTGAGTACATTCCTGGGTAGTTTGAATGGAGAAATTAGTGTGTTTTTATTGTGAGTGTCGGTAATGTTTATCCAGTCTTGATTATGCATGTCTGTTTATGCGATAATATCATGTGGCCTCATTCAGACAAGAAACAGCCCGTTAAGTTTATCTGAACATTCCTTCCTTTCTTCCTTTTAAATTGATAATACAGTGATAGCAAAGCCTCAAGACAAGTAAACGTTAGAGAACAGTCAATGCTATATTTATTTTAGTGTCAACATCACCTCAACTACCATTAATATCTGCGATATAGCTCTTTACTAGCCGTTAAAGGGAAACTACAGTGACAGGGGGGAAAAAAAGTGATTTTCCTGGCACTATGGCTCCTTATGGTGACCACCTCCGTCGTGCCCTCCCGGTTTAAGAATCCCTTCTGTCACTTACCTGATTCCAGCGCCGATGACCCTTTAGCACTGACTCAGGCTTTGCTCCGCCTACGTCAGCTGCGCACGCTTTATTATGTTATTGTATAATGCTTTACTATGGGGTTTTGGGTGACGCTGCATGTCCTCATTCAAAGCATGAGGACGTCCACCGTGAGGTGACCAAAAGACGCCTAACTACCCGGAAGTCCCTCTAGAAGTGGAGTTAACCCACAAACGTAATTATTGCAGTTTATCAAAATGAGCTGGAGTGGTCTGGGTGCCTATAGTGTCTCTTTAATATCTGGAATATAGCTTAACTCTTTACTAACCCTCCCTATATGAGAAACAGCTCTTTACTAAACTTGTATATCTATATGGGATACAGCTCTTTACTAACCCTGTATATCTGGGATATAGCTATTTACTAACCCTGTATATCTGGGATACAGCTCTTTACTAACCCTGTATATCTGGGATATAGCTCAGCTCTTTACTAACCCTGTATATCTGGGATACAGCTCTTTACGAACCCTGTATATCTGGGATATAGCTCTTTACTAACCCTGTATATCTGGGATACAGCTATTTACTAACCCTGTATATCTGGGATATAGCTCTTTACTAACCCTGTATATCTGGGATATAGCTCTTTAGCTCTTTACTAACCCTGTATATCTGGGATATGCTATTTACTAACCCTGTATATCTGGGATACAGCTATTTACTAACCCTGTATATCTGGGATATAGCTCTTTACTAACCCTGTATATCTGGGATATAGCTCTTTACTAACCCTGTATATCTGGGATACAGCTATTTACTAACCCTGTATATCTGGGATACAGCTCTTTACTAACCCTGTATATCTGGGATATAGCTCTATTTACTAACCCTGTATATCTGGGATACAGCTCTTTACTAACCCTGTATATCTGGGATACAGCTATTTACTAACCCTGTATATCTGGGATATAGCTCTTTGCTAACCCTGTATATCTGGGATACAGCTCTTTACTAACCCTGTATATCTGGGATATAGCTATTTACTAACCCTGTATATCTGGGATACAGCTCTTTACTAACCCTGTATATCTGGGATACAGCTCTTTACTAATAGCTCTTTACTAACCCTGTATATCTGGGATATGGCTATTTACTAACCCTGTATATCTGGGATACAGCTCTTTACTAACCCTGCATATCTGGGATACAGCTCTTTACTAACCCTGTATATCTGGGATACGGCTATTTACTAACCCTGTATAGCTGGGATATAGCTCTTTACTAACCCTGTATATCTGGGATACGGCTATTTACTAACCCTGTATAGCTGGGATATAGCTCTTTACTAACCCTGTATACCTGGGATATGGCTATTTACTAACCCTGTATATCTGGGATATAGCTCTTTACTAACCCTGTATATCTGGGATACAGCTCTTTACTAACCCTGTATATCTGGGATACAGCTATTTACTAACCCTGTATGTCTGGGATACAGCTATTTACTAACCCTGTATATCTGGGATATAGCTATTTACTAACCCTGTATATCTGGGATACAGCTCTTTACTAACCCTGTATATCTGGGATACAGCTATTTACTAACCCTGTATATCTGGGATATAGCTCTTTACTAACCCTGTATATCTGGGATACAGCTCTTTACTAACCCTGTATATCTGGGATATAGCTCTTTACTAACCCTGTATATCTGGGATACAGCTCTTTACTAACCCTGTATATCTGGGATATAGCTCTTTACTAACCCTGTATATCTGGGATACAGCTCTTTACTAACCCTGTATATCTGGGATATAGCTCTTTATTAACCCTGTATATCTGGGATATAGCTCTTTATTAACCCTGTATATCTGGGATATAGCTCTTTACTAACCCTGTATATCTGGGATAGAGCTCTTTACTAACCCTGTATATCTGGGATGTGGCTCTTTACTAACCCTGTATATCTGGGATATAGCTCTTTACTAACCCTGTATATCTGGGATATAGCTATTTACTAACCCTGTATATCTGGGATACAGCTCTTTACTAACCCTGTATATCTGGGATACAGCTATTTACTAACCCTGTATATCTGGGATACAGCTATTTACTAACCCTGTATATCTGGGATATAGCTCTTTACTAACCCTGTATATCTGGGATATAGCTCTTTACTAACCCTGTATATCTGGGATGTGGCTCTTTACTAACCCTGTATATCTGGGATACAGCTATTTACTAACCCTGTATATCTGGGATACAGCTATTTACTAACCCTGTATATCTGGGATACAGCTATTTACTAACCCTGTATATCTGGGATATAGCTCTTTATTAACCCTGTATATCTGGGATATAGTACTGCTCTTTACGAACCTTTTTCGATCCATTTGGCAAACTTTTTCATCTATATATTGATTGTGCTGTTAAAATAATGAACGATAGTATAGCTCTCAAATATAACACCTAATTTCTTTATATAACAACACTTTGTGGTACAAGGGGCTAAACATCCTGTGTGTGGCACAGACAAATTGCAATGTCCCCTGATGCAGTTCTGGAAGCAGCCATGTTTTTTGAAGCTGAAATTACATTTGAAAATCATTATTCCCATTCTGTAAAACGTCAGCTATCCAGAAGTTGTCATTAATGGTGGGGAATGGCACTATAATAAGGAAAAATATAACTGCTGCCAAAAACCACGTTCTCTATCTACTGCAACTGGTATCCCCATAGTCAGGAAAATCTTTTAAAACACATTAAAAGTTTGTTTTAAATTCTGTCTCTTTAATATTTGAATAAAAATGTAAAGATTGACACAACCATATCAGTGTAAAAATAGCTTCTAACTCTACACTTAGAGCATCACCGTGCCCCCCAGCCTGTCAATGGTCTACCAGGCATCTTTCAGTGGGTTACAGTGTCTCCCTGTTACCGTGGCGAAAGACCCTTGTTAATCAGGGTTCCTGTTATAAATGTTTTAAAGTGGAGTGGGAGATTGTCACCCACTGACAGATGTTTGCGGGTCGGAGATACAGACTGGCCTGGGAATTTGTGGACACTGTCAGCGTAAAGATACACATTACTATCACGTTCTATGACTAGGACAATCCGCAGGCTTCCCACTGGAAAATGGAGACCACCTGGCAATGGGAAAAATGTCTTGTATTATTTCATTTTCACCTGAAGTCACGTGCAATCTTTTTTCTTTTTTTTTCCCTTTCAGTCTTGTCAAAGATTGAAAAGGTAGAACTTTTTGTCTTGTGTCTCTAAGTTACTTAAAACCAAACGCAGGGTGTGCATCGTCTGACAACAGGGCACCTGGTCATCCTTGCCTACTCACGCACAACCCAGGTACTAATGCATGCATGTCAAGGACCGCAGGTTACTCAGAATTTGGTTTCTTAAGGCAGTTCAGCCCTCTCCCCCTCCCCATCTAAGAGGCGGGACATGTCTCAAGTTCCTCAAGGAAGTCTTTGCAAGTTTATCTGAGAAGTTTGTGCATCTGTCAGAGGCGGGAGTCCCTAGCAGCCCAGGTGTCAGCGTCTGGAGTTGTAGTATCACGACATAGTAAGTAAATGGAGGGTACGGATGATGATAGGGGGGAAGCGTGGGGGTGTGTGATCTCCAATACATGCATTCTGTGTCTCTTTCTTTACCATTCAGATGTGTAAAAGCATCTGGCAAACATTTCATTTATTTAATCGCACAAAAATTAAGCAGTTGGTTCTGGATATTATTATTTGCTAGATAATACCAACTCATTCTGTAGCAAGGTACAATGCTAAGAGAGACGCATAAATCAGAGTATATAATTTATTATAATGCATTTTTATCTGTGAAATATTTATTATAGCATCAACATATTACCTAGTGCTTTGTAAGGCTGGCAGCCAGATTATACAAATTTATTGAAATGCACAAAGTGTATTATTATTATTTTTGTGCCCGCTGTGGGGTAATGTGTCTGTTGCGTACATACATGGGGTTCACATGGGTGCCCATGTAGAATTAGATCAAACAGGGGTACAAAATTCTACCCATCTCAGCAGTTATTATATCCTCCTCCTCTCTCTCTCTCTCTCTCTCTCTCTCTCTCTATCTGTCCTGTCTCTCCCCTCATTATACAGCCTTTCTGAAGCTTGCAGAGTTCATTGCTCAGTGTGAGACATATAGTATTGGTTTTCAGTCTACTCTTTGTAGCAGTTTAACCGTTTCTGTGTGCAGTGTGAAACTTGGCATTGTTAACTTCCACGAAACGCTCTTCTCTTTGCCTGTTCCAAACTCTCTCTCTGCCTCTGTGTTTCCGTCTCTCATCTGTCTCCCCTTTTTTTCTCTCTGTCTCTCTCACTCATTTGTCAGTGAATTTCTGGATGTCTCGGTTTACGCTGTCTGATACAGTCTCACTCTGTAACCCAGAGCCTGGGTTTTCCTGTTGAGGCATGCAGAGAGGAATTTTAAGGATCTCATACTATCAGCGCACTCCAATCATTGTATGACTTTTGGGAAAGGATTTAGCAAGCTCTGATCCTTTAGCTGTCACTGGGTTCAAAATTTAAAAAGGGAAAAACAAACCACAGTATTAGAACCAGTATGATTGGCTTGTCCCTCCCAGATTTAATCTTTGCTTTTCTACTGTAAAGCTCTGGTGACCCTTGTCCTATCCGTTAGTCATGTTTTAGCAAAGAGCGCTTTTCAAATATTTTTCTGTGTTTAAAGCCTTTATGACAGACAGCATGCCGGAACATGCCAGCCCTGCAGAGAGACCATTCCATGCATTCACTACTCTGTACAATTGTCTATAATGTCTCCCTTACTTTGAAATTTATTCCACATTGTGATTTTCATTTTTTTCAATTCTTCTGACTGCAAGGGGGTGAGTGACTCATTGTGTGTTTGAAAATCAAATTTATCCTTTTTTTGTCTCCTCTTTTAAAGTGGAACTTATAGTAAGGGTATTTTTCAGTCTTGCGTGTTTGGTTAATAAAACCACACTCTGACATCACAACTACCTTCAGAAAAGGGCAGATCGGCCCTTTCGTGCAAATATACTTCAATTTTCCATGATGCAATTAATTTGTTACAGTCTGTGAGTTTTACAAATTTTCCCGGATTTGTAAAGCCAGGTTGGTTCTTTAGACCTTAAATTGGAAAATCTCACTTTAGAAGATAGTTGTGATGCCCGATAGCGCAGTTTGAGTAATAAAAATTTGTGTATATATATTGTATTGATATATTATCTTTGCTCAAACTGCACATACACACACACACACACACATATATACACGTATGTGTATGTATGTATGTATGAGTATGAATATGGAAATGTATATATAAGCAATAATAGCTACTATTATATTTTTTTTATTTCACAAATGCTTGTATCGAAGACATGATTTCCACTTGGGGTCTTACATGTGGACAGACAGGCAGTGATATAAGACAGGACAGGAGAGGAGATGTGATGAGGTGTACTATGTTTGTTCGGAGAGTACATGGTATGGACTGAGACAGCCTGTGAGAGATCTATACCAGAGACAGACATAACATTATTTATCAATGGTCTGGCTCCAGATACGCTCTGTGTCTGATACTTTATAACCTTACCAGGTTCATTAGCCTGCCATTGGCCAGTGCTAGGTTTCTGGCACCCATTGAAAAGACTGAAGCTGGCCCTTTAAAATCTCTGTTATACTGCATTATTTTATTAGCAATGTATACCTAGTATCATATAGAGTGAATGGTATTCAATGTAAAGGGGGTATGTTTTAACAAGCGTGCTTCTATTTGATATGAAACTTCCTCAAATCCTTTACTCTAGAAAGTCTAAACTAGGGTGTCCAAAAGGACCCACAAATGTTTTAAAATTAAAACTTCCATGATGATTTGTCATTCTAAAGATATTCTAAAGGGATGCAAAGCATCACAGGAATTGTAGTTCTACAACATCTGGGGATCAGGGCAGGCGCGTCCTATAGGCAGATTAGGTGGCCGGCCAGGGCCGGCGCTACCATAAGGCGGCACAAGCGGCCACCTTAGGGCGCATGGACCCAAGGGGCGCAAAAATGTCCGAGTGACTGGCGGGAGCACGGAGAACTCCGCTACCGCCGGTCAATTTCTGCAGCAATCTAATCAGCTGGCTGAGAAACGTGCACCCACTGAGGGAAGGGGGCGGAACAGCGAGGAGCGACCGCGGCAACTCTCTTCCTGAGCTACAGGCCGCTGGGATACGTGACATCATATCCCGGCGGCCAACTGCTGTGGAGGAAAGCTACAACAGTGCAGCGGGACCTCTGTTTTGCAACTATAAGAAACAGTAAGTGTGTGTAAGAGTTAGTGTGTGTGTTAGAGCCAGTGTATGTGTGTGTGTGTGTGTGTTAATGTGTGTGTGTTAGAGCCAGTGTGTGTATGTAAGAGTTAGTGTGTGCGTGTTAGAGCCAGTGTGTGTGTGTGTTAGAGCCAGTGTGTGTGTGTGTAAGAGTTTGTGTGTGTGTAAGAGTTAGTGTGTGTGTGTTAATGTGTGTGTGTTAGAGCCAGTGTGTGTATGTAAGAGTTAGTGTGTGTGTGTGTGTGTGTGTGTTAGAGCCAGTGTGTGAATGTAAGAGTTAGTGTGTGTGTGTGTGTGTGTTAGAGCCAGTGTGTGAATGTAAGAGTTAGTGTGTGTGTTTAATGTGTGTGTTAATGTGGGTGTGTTAGAGCCAGTGTGTGTATGTAAGAGCTAGTGTGTGTGTGTGCGTGTTATAGCCAGTGTGTGTGTGTAAGAGTTAGTGTGTGTGTAAGAGTTAGTGTGTGTGTGTGTCTATAAACTGTGTGTGTGTAAGAGACTGTGTGAGTGTAAAGCAGTGTGTGTGTGTGAGAGACTGTGTGTGTGTTACAGCTAGTGAGTGTGTATAAGCAGTGTGTGTAAGAGACTGTTTGTGTGTGTCTGTTAGAGCCGGTGAGTGTGTATAAGCTGTCCAAGTGTGTAAGAGACTGTGTGCGTTAGAGCCAGTGTGTGTGTATTAGCAGTGTGTGTGTGTGTATGAGCGAGTGAGTGTGTGACGCAAGGGGGTAAAGAAAAGTAGGATGAAGACACAAAACACGTAAAAAATAATGCCAGACAGGATACAATATACAAAAAAGGAAAACAAGAGAAAAAGGTGGTAAGATGCAAAGGGGCAAAATAATTGGTAAGAGGGGCAAAAGTGGGACTATTAGACAGACAGGTGAAGATACATTTTGGGGGCAGCAAAATGTGTCTTCGCCTGTGTAGACAGAAGTCCTTGCACCGGCCCTGTGGCCGGCCTAGGGCGCTTCTAAACGGGGGGCGACGGCAGCAGCTTTACTGCTGATAGGGGCCGCCCCCTCTATGTTGGGCACATTCTGCATTGCGTGTTGCAGGTCATGGCACCGGGTGCTAGGGAGCACTTACATAGGGGCACACTAGCGCCTGGTGCCGTCAACTGTCACTGTGTGTGTGTCAGTCTACATCAGTCAGTGTGTGTGTATGCTTGGGACAGTGTGTGTTTGTGTATATGTCAGTCTACATAAGTCAGTGTATGTCTGCTTAAGTCAGTGTGTGTGTGTTTGTGTCACTCTGCATGAGTCAGTGAATTTATGTGTGCATTGGTCACTGATTGTGATTGTGTGGACCATTGAGTTTGAGTGAGTGTGAGTCTCTGTGTGTGTTTTTGTGTGTGTACATAAAAACATGGCATTGTAGCGGTGGTGCCTCTACTGGCTGTAAGTGTGACAGCTACTAGAGTCTTGTTTAACCCTTCAAGTTAAGGCAATGTTTTATCTTGTGAGGTTAAACCTACAGGACCACTGTGGAGCGAATGTGGTGCAAAATACTTGCGCCAGTCCTTCTGGGCACCCCTGGTCTAAGCTTTTACTTATTCCACTGGAAAGCCGTTCTATGTATCTACTACCTGTTTTATATCAATGTTAGCCCTTACTGCCTCCACCTGGGAGGCAATGCCAGGTATCTACTTCCCTTTCTATATCACAGTTGGCCTTTACCTCTGTCATTGGAAGGCTACTCCAGGGATCCACTACTCTTTCTATAGGGTAACATGTCTATAATTCTGCCAGGGAATATTGCATGTTGTGGACCCCATATTGTTGGCCATGCCTGTCTGCAATGTAAATAATATATTTATTTTGAGAATTCTAGTGGTACACATAAGGAAATATTGTAGCTTTTAGGGAGTCCAAATGAAACGCTGACCACTAACTTAATAACTAACACTTCCTTATGACACTGGCCTCCAGCTTCCCTTCCCACGGCTTGCAAGGCGACTATGTCTTTTATTTAGCTGGGGCAGACTGGGTCATTCAGAGCCAACTGAGTGGAATTGTCTCTTTGATGGGTTGGGAGAATATTGGGTATTACTCCTAGACGGCTAACAGGCACGTTGGCAAATATATTTTAATAAGTATGTGATCTATGTATCGGGCACATCGGCAGGTCCCAATAATTGAATTGGTGAGATTTTACGTAATAGCAGATGAATGATGATGTTTATTCGTTAGTGCACAGTGTTATTACAGCTATGCTCATTCTGCCACCTGTTTAAATATACAATGTGAGTCCGGCTTGTCTAAGAACACTGTAAACTGTAATATTTAAGGGCCTTGCTTAGAGTGATGGGATGTGCAGTCCACAGAATCCGCAGTGCCCAGCTGGCTATAAAGCCATCACCTAAAGGAGCAGGATTCCATCTGAGAGCACAGTGCTGTACTTCGGTGTGTTCGGTGCTGTGACTGCTAGCTCAGAGCTAGTCCCTGTTACACAGCCCTTCCCTACCTTTTGTGTTTATACAATGGGCAGGTATGACACGGTGACTGTGAAATCCATCCTCACCGTTCAGCCCACACCTTCCCCACATTTGTTTATACACAGTCACGGTGTCCCTGTTGATATGCACGTCATGCGATTTTGCAAAACTCTGGACACACTCTTGACATCAGTGATGTGTACCCTGGCGACCAGTATACTCCACTCAACCAAGCGATGTTTCATGTAAAACGAACAGCCCAGGAATGAAACCGTATAAGAATAATCCATAGAGACAATACATTGTTCTAAATTTTCACACCTATTGTTCCCCTGCCACCTGCAGGATGCTCTGTAGACCAACAGACAGAGCCCTTTGTGAACTTTTTCAGTGCAAGTTTGGACATATAAGTACATCAGAAAAGGTTAAACTCACATTTATATTCATATTTTCATTTATCATTTATCATGAATGTCCTTATCATTTAAACATTTGCCTCATTTTCACCTAAATACATTATCCCGTGTCCAATACAAAGGGGAATTTTGCCTCTCTATAAGGTACTGTTTATATATGGAGTCTTCTCGAACCAGCTGAGACAAAGATTTATAAATGCACAGTCAGCCAATCGTCACTAGTGATGTAACCCGTCGGCCTATGGACAATTCGTATTCAGATTGCCTGCGTTGCTGCCTCTGTCCTGTAGACACGTTAGAAGGCTGACAGAGGTTCAGACAAAAATGCAGAACATAAGGAAAACCTCAGTCTGCGAAATCAAAACCAAAATCCCATGAAAATTTATAAGGGACTGTCTTATAGAAGAGGCTTTTATCTAAACAATGCATTGTCAGTGCCAGTTTTGATGTCTCGCCAGGTCTGTGCGTGTTTGTATACGACACATACATCACGGTCTCTGTTTATCCTGCTTCCCAAACAGAAGTAATCCTGGTGATGAGTCACGTTTGTTTAGTAACCGTGTCGTTCTCCCAGAGGAAGATATATTAATTATAAAAAAGAAAAAGTTAATTAACTTTCTCCTCTAACGCAGTCATTACTGGACGACTTGGCCCAGCCACAAAGAGGTTAATGTGATAGCTGCCAACAACTTGGTAGTTCTGCAAATAACCACCTCATTGCCTTACAAACCCATTAAACACAAATCAAGGTGATGGATGGCTAATGGAGATCTAACTAGGAATGTTCTATTACAACAGGTCACATCTAGTATGGGGTCACTGGCTGCATGCTTAATGCTTGTACAACCAATTTGTGCCTGCACAGTGTTCATTAACCCCTTCTACAAGGGCTGGATAGCAGATATTTAATGAGATGGAGGGGAGAGCATAGAATGTTCCGTATCGACAAACAGATTCTAGCCAACTGGTCACCACCTTACGGCACGCAATTTCACCAGGCCCGAAATACAAGACTACAGAGAAAAATCTGCCCACCTTTAAACATGTAAAAGTATTTCCTGATAATGCGAAAAACAGTTTGACATTGATTGACAACAGTGATGTTGAAGAAATTCTACTGTAGCAGCTTGACAAATTGTCCTGTCATGTCTTATGGTCAAACCAACTTCCCCTAGTGACCCAGATAAGAGCAATCTCTCCTAATCTCTAGCGCTGTTATCGCCACTCAGTGAGGGCTCGTGTTGGAAGAGCAGATCAAGAAAACCATCATGTTGACAATGTAGGGTATTTATATAACATTTGAGGTCCATAGTTGTTGGCTCTCTAATACATTGAAGATCACGCCATATCGGTGTCACATCAACGTATCACTCAACACCTGGTGCGTTTGGTCCCAAGAGTGTTTTCCGATGGGGAAGCCTTTAGTTGGACTGGCTTCAGATTAAATGCTGGCGTTACTAGATCTGCAGCTCTTTATTCAGAGAAGTATGACAAGATAGCATCAGTTATGTGAGAAGGAATTGCATTGTCACTCGCTGACATCTACCATGCATCATATAAACTACCAGCCAGTATTGGCCTACACCTGCCCGGTACAGTTAATCATTGGAATAGGAAGGGTGGCAGGGTGATTAAGTGCTCCATTTATTGTCCTGGACGCTGGTGCAGATACTGCGTGTTGTGACAGAGCTGGAAGGTACACCGTTAATATGACTATGGTCAAATGTAGATCAAAAGAACCTGCAGTTTATTTGCTAATCCTGAAATATAGCTCTAATCACTCCGAGACAGCAGACGGATAAAAGAAACAATTTGTAATCGAAGCTCCTACCAGCAGCCCTTCCACTAAACCTTTGAGACTATAAGCTCTTTCGAGCAGGACTTTTGCAACTACTTCTTTTGTAAAAAGTTTGAAGTGGTCTTGTTGACTGTACGCCCGTTGTATAGCACTGCAGCATTATGATGTCTGTTTATATCAATATTTGCAAGAAGCTTTGTACAGGAAAGAGTCCAAAGACCTTCGCTTTCTACTTGGCTGTGAAGATTTGCCAGAATTTCTGCCTGCCCGGTTTATTTGTCATCAAATTCCATGGTAACACATCTTATTAGCAGAGTTTGGGAAGGCCTCCTGTGTTTAACTGATCGAGGGAAGCACACAGTACAGTTGCCATTTTACCCTTGGACATGTTAGTACCTTAGAAATAAATAAATAATGGGCTAGAGAAAATGAGTGTGTATTCGATAGTAACGTGGTTCAGCTGCGAGGAGGATAATTGATATATAGTTTTGTTTTCTCCAGTGCGGTTTGGCCTGTACTATTACCATGAGGCCACGTGTGCAACATAATTCTTCACCATTATTGAGAACTGATTTACATACGGTGACACAATGATGTAATCTAAAGCAGACACTTAAAACCTCATTTCCCTTGATCAACATGTTTTAAACCCAGCCTGAACAGCATGACCGCCATTTTACATGTGCGTCGTGCACGCGGTAACAGTATTTAAATGACAGCGTTCCTTTAATATGATATAAAGGAACACGTAGTCTAAAAAGCTAGAAGAGAATGCTGGGAGTTGTAGTCTGTAGACCGCTGTTGCATTGATGTTAAAAATGTATTGTCTGTTCCTCTTGTGAACTTCCTTTTACGGTAGCTCAGACGCTTCATTGCTACAGGACGTAAAATAATTCATTGTAAATTATAGTCTATTATTACAGCCAAAACCCAGCTTAGAAATGTGATCTAGAATTCTTCACAATGGCCTCCTCTACCTGATAACACAATAAGTGAGATTCCTTCCCCTGCTAGCTACTTACACTAATTGTAATGTGTCTGACATAGCTTGTTGTTTGAAGAGGGTTTTTTTTTTCTCTGCTCTAATTAAACAGGAAATATTTCCTGCACGTGAATTACAGAAGATTGTCTTGTCTGGTTAGAGCTTCCTTTAAATATCTTGCTGAAAAGCTGCAGATTACAACAGGGAGGGGTAGGACTGCGGTATCTTCTATATCGTTTTTACGGTTTTATTTTCTCTCCTCCAGTGTGATTTGTGGCAGTCCACCCATCCTCTTTTATATAAACCACAAGAACATATCAAAAATGTTTTTTTTTATAAGTGTCGCGTGTAGGCAAGAGTTATTTCCAGTTGCAGAAGAGAGAAGTACCGTCTTAGAAAGCGCAGTGGGTGGAGAAGTAATGGGCTAAACAAATAGTGTTACGGTTAATAATTCCAGATCTGTTTCTGACTATACCAGACACCTCTTTAAAATTCACTATAGAAAATATAGGGAAGTACCTATATTTCCCCAAAATAATACCATAAACTTTATTCTTATTGTATAGGAGAGTACTGTGCAAACAACATAGAAAGAGGTGAAGCTCACACGGTGACTATAGTTACCTCCTGCTGTATAATAAAATACCTGTATAATAAAAATGTTATAGTACAGTATGTCAAAGTGAAACTTTAAAAGGAGAGGTTATTGTAACACACAATATATAGAGCCTATTATAAGTCGGCTCCAACCGTGGAGGCATCAAATAAAAATTTGTAAATAAACGCGCTTCAGTTGTTTAGGTCCCGAGAGAGATGCTTTTTTCTTCATCAGGAGGGATGATCAGAAACCTAAGTAATTAAAAGAGCACTGTAGGGTCAGGAACACAAACATGTATTCCAGACCCTACAGCGTTATAACCACCATCTAGCCCCACTGGCCCCCTAAATATAGTAAAATCTTACTTTTATTCCAGTCTGCTGCTGGCTCTGCCCTTGATCTGTCTGCTTGGCTGACATCATTAGAAGTTATGATCTGAGTCAATTACAATGCTTTCCCATAGCAAGCATTGGGTTGGCTGAGATTGTCAAGGAGGCATATCAGTGGCAGAGCCAGCACAAGCTAAACAGCCCTGTCCAATCAGCATCTCCTCATAGAGATTAATTGAACCAATGCATCTCTATGAGGGAAGTCCATTGTCTACATGCAGAAGGTGGAGACACTGAATGTCTGTTGCATTTGCCCCAGGAAGTACCTCCAGCAGCTATCTGAGGAGTGACCAATGGAGGTGTCCCTAGGCTGTAATGTAAACAATGCCTTTTGTCTGAAAAAGCAGTGTTTACTGCAAATAGCCTGAAGGGGCTGACTATACTCGCCAGAACAAATTCAATAAGCTGTAGTTATTCTAGTGACTATTGTGTCCCTTTAATCAAAATAAGCTTTATAAGTGTATACAAATAAAATCAAATAGCATCAAAGGAAATAGCACAATGTATTTTGACTGGTGCACAGCCTTCCCAGGTGCTTAATTGCAAAATATTGTAAGTCCCGCCCTTCCCTTAAATGGAAATTGGAAATATGCCAATTATAAAATGGTGGGCACGTCGAAAAGCATTTTGCTATTTCTTTTGCCACTATTTTTTGATAGTATGGGAGAATACTGTAACCTGTGTTACAATAGTATAGAAGACTACCAAAAGCTTCATTCCTGTAATATCGGAGAGTCCCCAACCTTTATTCCTATAGTATAGGAGATTACTGGAACCTTTATTCCTATAGTATTGGAGAGTACCGGTACCTTTATTCCTATAGTATTGGAGAGTACCGGTACCTTTATTCCTATAGTATTGGAGAGTACCGGTACCTTTATTCCTATAGTATTGGAGAGTACCGGTACCTTTATTCCTATAGTACAGTCGAGTACCGGAACCTTTATTCCTATAGTATAGGAGAGTACCGGAACCTTTATTCCTATAGTATAGGAGAGTACCGGCACCTTTATTCCTATAGTACAGGAGAGTACCAGAACCTTTAAAACACCCTATGCTATAGAAGAGTGTCTACAGTACAGGAGAGTACCGGAAATTTCTATAGTACAGGAGAGTACTTAATTCCTATAGTATAGGAGAGTAGCGGAACCTTTATTCCTATAGTATAGGAGGGTACCGGAACCTTTATTCCTATAGTACAGGAGAGTACCGGAACCTTCATTCCTATAGTATAGGAGAGTACCGGAACCTTTACTACTATAATATTGGAGAGTACCAGAACCTTTATTACTATAGTACAGGAGAGTACTGGAACCTTTATTCCTATAGTATAGGAGAGTACCGGAACCTTTATTGATATAGTATAGGAGAGTACCGGAACCTTTATTGATATAGTATAGGAGAGTACTGGAACCTTTATTGATATAGTATAGGAGAGTACCGGAACCTTTATTCCTATAGTATAGGAGAGTACTGGAACCTTTATTCCTATAGTATAGGAGAGTACCGGAACCTTTATTCCTATAGTACAGGAGAGTACCGGAACCTTTATTTCTATAGTATAGGAGAGTACCGGAACCTTTATTGATATAGTATAGGAGAGTACCGGAACCTTTATTGCTATAGTATAGGAGAGTACCGGAACCTTTATTACTATAGTAAAGGAGAGTACCGGAACCTTTATTCCTATAGTATAGGAGAGTACCGGAACCTTTATTCCTATAGTACAGGAGAGTACCGGAACCCTTATTTCTATAGTATAGGAGAGTACCGGAACCTTTATTCCTAAAGTATAGGAGAGCACCAGAACCTTTATTCCTATAGTACAGGAGAGTACCGGAACCTTTATTTCTATAGTATAGGAGAGTACCGGAAGATTTATTCCTATACTACAGGAGAGTACCAGAACCTTTATAGAAGAGTACCGGAAACTTTATTCCTATAGTATAGGAGAGTACTGGAACCTTTATTCCTAGAGTACAGGAGATTACTGGAACCTTTATTCCTATAGTATAGGAGAGTATTGGAACCTTTATTCCTATAGTACAGGAGAGTACCGGAACCTTTATTGATATAATATTGGAGAGTACCGGAACCTTTATTGCTATAGTATAGGAGAGTACCGGAAGCTTTATTCCTATACTACAGGAGAGTACCAGAACCTTTATTTCTATAGTATAGGAGAGTACCGGAACCTTTATTCCTATAGTATAGGAGCGTACCGGAACCTTTATTCCTATAGTATAGGAGAGTACTGGAACCTTTATTCCTATACTACAGGAGAGTACCAGAACCTTTATTCCTATAGTATAGGAGAGTACTGGAACCTTTATTGCTATAGTATAAGGGAGTACCGGAACCTTTATTACTATAGTACAGGAGAGTACCGGAACCTTTATTCCTATAGTATAAGAGAGTACCGGAACCTTTATTACTATAGTACAGGAGAGTACTGGAACCTTTATTCCTATGGTATAGGAGAGTACCAGAACCTTTATTTCTATAGTATAGGAGAGTACCGGAACCTTTATTTCTATAGTATAGGAGAGTACCGGAACCTTTATTCCTATAGTACAGGAGAGTACCGGAACCTTTATTCCTATAGTATAGGAGAGTACTGGAACCTTTATTGATATAGTATAGGAGAGTACCGGAACCTTTATTCCTATAGTATAGGAGAGTACTGGAACCTTTATTCCTATAGTATAGGAGAGTACCGGAACCTTTATTCCTATAGTACAGGAGAGTACCGGAACCTTTATTTCTATAGTATAGGAGAGTACCGGAACCTTTATTCCTATAGTACAGGAGAGTACCAGAACCTTTATTTCTATAGTATAGGAGAGTACCGGAAGATTTATTCCTATACTACAGGAGAGTACCAGAACCTTTATAGAAGAGTACCGGAACCTTTATTCCTATAGTATAGGAGTGTACCGGAACCTTTATTTCTATAGTATAGGAGAGTACCGGAACCTTTATTGATATAATATTGGAGAGTACCGGAACCTTTATTGATATAATATTGGAGAGTACCGGACGCTTTATTCCTATAGTAAAGGAGAGTACTGGAACCTTTATTCCTATAGTATAGGAGAGTACCGGAACCTTTATTCCTATAGTAAAGGAGAGTACCGGAACCTTTATTCCTATAGTACAGGAGAGTACTGCAACCTTTATTCCTATAGTATAGGAGAGTACCGGAACCTTTATTCCTATAGTATAGGAGAGTACCGGAACCTTTATTCCTATAGTACAGGAGAGTACCGGAACCTTTATTGCTATAGTATAGGAGAGTACCGGAACCTTTATTACTATAGTACAGGAGAGTACCGGAACCTTTATTTCTATAGTATAGGAGAGTACCGGAACCTTTATTGATATAATATTGGAGAGTACCGGAACCTTTATTGATATAATATTGGAGAGTACCGGAACCTTTATTGATATAATATTGGAGAGTACCGGAAGCTTTATTTCTGTAGTATAGGAGAGTACCGGATCCTTTATTCCTATAGTACAGGAGAGCACCGGAACCTTTATTCCTATAGTATAGGAGAGTAGCGGAACCTTTATTCCTATAGTATAGGAGAGTACCGGAACCTTTATTCCTATAGTATAGGAGAGTACTGGAACCTTTATTCCTATAGTATAGGAGAGTACTGGAACCTTTATTCCTATAGTACAGGAGAGTACCAGAACCTTTATTTCTATAGTATAGGAGAGTACCGGAAGATTTATTCCTATACTACAGGAGAGTACCAGAACCTTTATAGAAGAGTACCGGAACCTTTATTCCTATAGTATAGGAGTGTACTGGAACCTTTATTCCTATAGTATAGGAGAGTACCAGAACCTTTATTTCTATAGTATAGGAGAGTACCGGAACCTTTATTGATATAATATTGGAGAGTACCGGAACCTTTATTGATATAATATTGGAGAGTACCGGAAGCTTTATTTCTATAGTATAGGAGAGTACCGGAACCTTTATTCCTATAGTACAGGAGAGTACCGGAACCTTTATTCCTATAGTATAGGAGAGTACTGGAACCTTTATTCCTATACTACAGGAGAGTAGCAGAACCTTTATTACTATAATATAGGAGAGTACTGGAACCTTTATTCCTATAGTATAGGAGAGTACCGGAACCTTTATTCCTATAGTGTAGGAGAGTACCGGAACCTTTATTCATATAATATAGGAGAGTACTGGAACCTTTATTCCTATAGTATAGGAGAGTACCGGAACCTTTATTGCTATAGTATAGGAGAGTACCGGAACCTTTATTACTATAGTAAAGGAGAGTACCGGAACCTTTATTTCTATAGTATAGGAGAGTACCGGAACCTTTATTGATATAATATTGGAGAGTACCAGAACCTTTATTGATATAATATTGGAGAGTACCGGAAGCTTTATTTCTATAGTATAGGAGAGTACCGGAACCTTTATTGATATAGTATAGGAGAGTAGCGGAACCTTTATTCCTATAGTATAGGAGAGTACCGGAACCTTTATTCCTATAGTATAGGAGAGTACTGGAACCTTTATTCCTATAGTATAGGAGAGTACTGGAACCTTTATTCCTATAGTACAGGAGAGTACCAGAACCTTTATTTCTATAGTATAGGAGAGTACCGGAAGATTTATTCCTATACTACAGGAGAGTACCAGAACCTTTATAGAAGAGTACCGGAACCTTTATTCCTATAGTATAGGAGTGTACTGGAACCTTTATTCCTATAGTATAGGAGAGTACCAGAACCTTTATTTCTATAGTATAGGAGAGTACCGGAACCTTTATTGATATAATATTGGAGAGTACCGGAACCTTTATTGATATAATATTGGAGAGTACCGGAAGCTTTATTTCTATAGTATAGGAGAGTACCGGAACCTTTATTCCTATAGTACAGGAGAGTACCGGAACCTTTATTCCTATAGTATAGGAGAGTACTGGAACCTTTATTCCTATACTACAGGAGAGTAGCAGAACCTTTATTACTATAATATAGGAGAGTACTGGAACCTTTATTCCTATAGTATAGGAGAGTACCGGAACCTTTATTCCTATAGTGTAGGAGAGTACCGGAACCTTTATTCATATAATATAGGAGAGTACTGGAACCTTTATTCCTATAGTATAGGAGAGTACCGGAACCTTTATTGCTATAGTATAGGAGAGTACCGGAACCTTTATTACTATAGTAAAGGAGAGTACCGGAACCTTTATTTCTATAGTATAGGAGAGTACCGGAACCTTTGTTGATATAATATTGGAGAGTACCAGAACCTTTATTGATATAATATTGGAGAGTACCGGAAGCTTTATTTCTATAGTATAGGAGAGTACCGGAACCTTTATTGATATAGTATAGGAGAGTACCGGAACCTTTATTGCTATAGTATAGGAGAGTACCGGAACCTTTATTACTATAGTAAAGGAGAGTACCGGAACCTTTATTCCTATAGTATAGGAGAGTACCGGAACCTTTATTCCTATAGTATAGGAGAGTACTGGAACCTTTATTCCTATACTACAGGAGAGTAGCAGAACCTTTATTACTATAATATAGGAGAGTACTGGAACCTTTATTCCCATAGTATAGGAGAGTACCGGAACCTTTATTCCTATAGTAAAGGAGAGTACCGGAACCTTTATTCCTATAGTACAGGAGAGTACTGCAACCTTTATTCCTATAGTATAGGAGAGTACCGGAACCTTTATTCCTATACTATAGGAGAGTACCGGAACCTTTATTCCTATAGTACAGGAGAGTACCGGAACCTTTATTGCTATAGTATAGGAGAGTACCGGAACCTTTATTACTATAGTACAGGAGAGTACCGGAATCTTTATTTCTATAGTATAGGAGAGTACCGGAACCTTTATTGATATAATATTGGAGAGTACCGGAACCTTTATTGATATAATATTGGAGAGTACCGGAACCTTTATTGATATAATATTGGAGAGTACCGGAAGCTTTATTTCTATAGTATAGGAGAGTACCGGATCCTTTATTCCTATAGTACAGGAGAGCACCGGAACCTTTATTCCTATAGTATAGGAGAGTAGCGGAACCTTTATTCCTATAGTATAGGAGAGTACCGGAACCTTTATTCCTATAGTATAGGAGAGTACTGGAACCTTTATTCCTATAGTATAGGAGAGTACTGGAACCTTTATTCCTATAGTACAGGAGAGTACCAGAACCTTTATTTCTATAGTATAGGAGAGTACCGGAAGATTTATTCCTATACTACAGGAGAGTACCAGAACCTTTATAGAAGAGTACCGGAACCTTTATTCCTATAGTATAGGAGTGTACTGGAACCTTTATTCCTATAGTATAGGAGAGTACCAGAACCTTTATTTCTATAGTATAGGAGAGTACCGGAACCTTTATTGATATAATATTGGAGAGTACCGGAACCTTTATTGATATAATATTGGAGAGTACCGGAAGCTTTATTTCTATAGTATAGGAGAGTACCGGAACCTTTATTCCTATAGTACAGGAGAGTACCGGAACCTTTATTCCTATAGTATAGGAGAGTACTGGAACCTTTATTCCTATACTACAGGAGAGTAGCAGAACCTTTATTACTATAATATAGGAGAGTACCGGAACCTTTATTTCTATAGTATAGGAGAGTACCGGAACCTTTATTCCTATAGTACAGGAGAGTAGTGGAACCTTTATTCCTATAGTATAGGAGAGTAGCGGAACCTTTATTCCTATAGTATAGGAGAGTAGTGGAACCTTTATTCCTATAGTATAGGAGAGTACCAGAACCTTTATTTCTATAGTATAGGAGAGTACCGGAACCTTTATTGATATAATATTGGAGAGTACCGGAACCTTTATTGATATAATATTGGAGAGTACCGGAAGCTTTATTTCTATAGTATAGGAGAGTACCGGAACCTTTATTCCTATAGTACAGGAGAGTACCGGAACCTTTATTCCTATAGTATAGGAGAGTACTGGAACCTTTATTCCTATACTACAGGAGAGTAGCAGAACCTTTATTACTATAATATAGGAGAGTACCGGAACCTTTATTCCTATAGTATAGGAGAGTACCGGAACCTTTATTCCTATAGTACAGGAGAGTAGTGGAACCTTTATTCCTATAGTATAGGAGAGTAGCGGAACCTTTATTCCTATAGTATAGGAGAGTAGTGGAACCTTTATTCCTATAGTATAGGAGAGTACCGGAACCTTTATTCCTATAGTATAGGAGAGTAGTGGAACCTTTATTCCTATAGTATAGGAGAGTAGCGGAACCTTTATTACTATAGTATAGGAGAGTAGCGGAACCTTTATTACTATACTACAGGAGAGTACCGGAACCTTAATTCCAATAGTAAAGGAGAGTACCGGAACCTTTATTGATATAATATTGGAGGGTACCGGAAGCTTTATTCCTATCGTATAGGATAATAGTAACTTCCTTCCTTTACTATTGCAGAATACAATATTCTTTTTTTCTCTAGTTTAGGAGAGTCACAGACCCATTATCCCCTTAGTTCTTGTGTTTAATGCATAGATAGAACACTAAAACTATGCAATAATAAAATATTTCCAGATTTCTGTAGCTGATTTGTTCCCTAATGCTGTGCTTTATGAGTACTGCGATATTCTGATGTAAAATACTAACAGCTGTACTTCCAGAAACCAAAAGCAGGACATCATGCACGGCAGTAATTTAGGAACTAAAATGAAACCCTGCATAATGGGAGGGAGGGGAAGATTGAGAGAAAAACACCCAGCTTAACTAGCTGTAACCTGTGGGTGCCTTTAATGAGAGGTTTTGTTGTTGGAGTGGTAGACACAACAGATATTCTTCCAATATAAACGTAAAAGATAGAATCTGTATCTCGGTGTGGACTGGAGGATGCAGCTCCTCTCATTCTCAGCCCAGCCTGGGGTGATGAGAGTTGTACTTCCCCTAGAGGCTGACTATTCATGCTGTGAATGATGTAGTGATCCCGTACCGTCTGGAGTCTATAAAGTTGGATAACTTTCGTTTACAAGCAAGCACAGATCAATTACCGTAGAGCCAAGCACGGACCAAGCTGAACTAATTACCCTGTTATTTTTTAATTGAGTAAACGAGCTGATTGATGGCTCTGTGAAGGAAACATGAAATACACAGAGCTAGGGAAGTTTGACATTCCCACCTCCCATGTCACATTTTGGGATTGCCAGAGCTGGTCATGTAAACACAGCACAGTTATTCACTAAACTGGAACTGACGAGAAATGAGATGGGAATTGTAAATGGACAATTTGGATAGCATATTAAAATATATTTATCTTGGCTAGTTTGGGCTAAAATGTTAAATTCCACAGTCAAATCTCAACAAGTCAACGTTTTTAACGTGATTAACGTGATCTTTGTAAAAATATAATTGGTTGGATTGAAAAGAACAATAACTATTTGAAGGCAAATTCTAGCATTACGATTACGAATATATACACTACTAACTATTCAGAGTTTTCCCCACTATTTAGAATGTCAGTTCTGCACTCCATGATTAAATAACTTTAAAACTTCCCTTTATTCCCTAGTGCTAGCCCTGCTATGTCTGCTCGTCCCCCCAGCTGAGATGTTGGCCAATCCAATTGTTTCCCATAGGGCAGTACTGAAAGGCTAGTGCACATGCACAGCAATTGCCACGCAATCAGCACCCCCTTTGAAGAGATTAATTGTCTCAATGCATCTTCATGGGGAGCTTTTGGCATCTACATGCAGAGCCTGAAGACGTTGAACGTTAGTCCTGCAAAGACTGCAGGACTGTATCCAGGAAGCTCCTCTCGTGTCTGACAGTGTAGTCACTACAGGTGACAAGAGGCAGTATTGTAAACCCCAGGGACAGTTTTTCTGTACCAGAACCACTGCATTAAGCCCTAGTAGTTGTGCAGCTTAGGGTGTCCTTTGAGATTTTCCTACAAAACTCTTTTACGTGGAGTCCGCTATACACAGCGTACCTTAGCTCAGTGATGGCAACTTTGTGATGACCACATCTAATGACTGAGACTGCAAAGAGTTCATATCTTGAAAGATTCATGTGAACTCTGACCCTGTAATAAATGAGAATTAAAATTCCCCAATTGAGGCCAAATTAGCTGTACTGTAAACATACCTAACTTGGAGAATCTTCATTTTGGCTATTTAGGCCTAAGTTTTAAATGGTTTAATTCCAAACAATTCACACTTCATTAAATAACTGTGCATGCCCTACCTAGTACTCCCTTCCCTAAACTGAATATGCTGTGATGCAGTATATGGAATTGATGTGATCCCCGTGAGAAATTAATTAATTGCAATTATAATGAATTGCTTGATCTGGTAATCCTATTCTCCTAGAATAATAATGATGCTGTGTTTGTCTTGGGTGGATCACTATATAATCCCATATCTATAAATTCTTAATATACGATGTTAGAAGCCGTCACAATATCATTGTGTGGAGTTAGAAATAATCCGATAATGGTTCCATAGAGTGAATTGTACAGTTCCTTAAAGGGACTCTCCAGTGCCAGGAAAACAAACCGTTTTCCTGGTACAGCAGGTCCCCTCTCCCTCTCACCCCCCATCCCAGGTTGCTGAGGGGTTAAAACCCCTTCAGTGACTTACCTGTATCCAGTGCCGATGTCCCCCGGCGGTGGGTCAGGGTCCGCCCACGCTCCTCCCCCGCCGGGGAGACCATTGAGCATGTGCGGCTGGGCAGACCTAATGCGCATGCACCGCAATGCCGCGCACGCGCATTAGACCTCCCCATAGGAAAGCATTGAATAATGCTATCAATGCTTTCCTATAGGGATTTCAGCGACGCTGGAGGTCCTCACATAGTGTTATTCTATGAACACGGAAGCGTCCTCTAAAGCCACTAAAGGAGGACTTAACCCTTCAAGGTAAATATTGCAGTTTATGAAAACTGCAATAATTACACTTGTAGGGTTAAGGGTAGTGGGAGTTGGCACCCAGGCCACTCCAATGGGCAGAAGTGGTCTGGGTGCCTGGAGTGTCCCTTTAAAAATCTCACCTTTTTGGCTTTTCATCCTTTCGTATAATAACACAGATAAAGGGAAACTGTCACTTCCTAGTAATTTAATGTTATGTTTATTTATCCCTTTATCTAACAAAAATGTGTTTCCGAGATCTGAAAAATGAAATTAAAGTAACACTCAAAACACTTAAAGCAGTTTAGCTTGCTAAAATGGTTTGTGTGAAGAAAAAGTGCAGGTTTCAATTGGCAGATTTATAAATTAATATTGTTACACCCCTTCCGTCTGTCAATCAGACAACGGTCCTGTTACTTCCTGGTTTGTTTATCTCAAATTGAGCTACATTGGGAAGTCTGATTGGACAGCCACAGAAAGTCTGACCTGGAGAAGAAGAGGAGTACTTGCAAAGACTGCAGACAAGAGAACTGCAGCTTTTGCCAGCTCTTTTTAGATATGACCCCAACAAATGCATGTATGTTTTCATTGGTGTATCTACAAAATAGGGATGGCTATTTTTTGTTTTATAATTTGTAGAGTGTTGCTTTAAATCTAGAAACCACATTACTGTATTTACCTCTATCCTGGAACTAAATACCTCCATCGTGGACCCCTGCAAATCAGGGGTGTTTCTAGGATTAAAAAATATACAGTGGGCTTGAGCCCAAATAATTTTGTGTCCCCTTCCTAAAGCGCCACCCTTTGCCCCTCCCAAAATACCACCCCTTGCTCTTCCCACCAATTACCCCTTAACACACCTCTTGACACAATCACACACTGGAGGTAGAGTGCCTCCATCAGAATCTGTTGTTCCCGCTGTCTCGCCCTCGGCCTCCTCGCTCCTCAATCCCCACCATCACACTTTCCAATTACTGACGACCTACCCCTCCCAAATGCTTGTTTCTCTTGCTCATTTGCATCATGTGCCCTGGCTGTGCCAGGATTTTAACTGAGCAGTATTGCTTTTTTCAATTCTAACAGTGTATCACATGGAAAAAAGGTTAACACAAGATATAGGTAGTTTTCATATTCTTATTCAATGGTGTCATTTTAACAAATGTGATGGGTTCTCTTTGAAAGGAGACAAAGCACTGACACCTACTTTGGGTAGTGTAGCAGTCTTCCATGGTTACTCAGTGCTGCCCTCAGCTATTATTTTTGGAAAACAGTTAACAAGTTAGAAAGCAGCTTTGTTGGCAATCAAATTAAAATCTGCCGCTAGCGTCTTAAGAAAAGGGAGTATTATCACCCTTCCCAGGGTATTCTAATGCAGTTACAGACCAGTTACCTGTGGTTAGAGATAAGGCCTCACTTCCCCTGCCCAGAGAAGAGAGTTTTGGCACAGATTACTTGTATTTAGTTGTCTTAACCAAAGTCAGCAGGATCAACCTGGATATGCCCCTGGTACATCCATAATCTGTGAATTTAGTTCTCCAGAATGACCAAGTGTATTCTTTGAAGGAAAGTATCACAAATTGTCACCTCACTGGGGTCAACTATGTTGATTTACTCTGCAGGTTTATTATGCCCTGGTGACGTATGTTGACCATTTTAGAAATGTTGATATATCCTGGCTATTTTAGAAGAAAGAAGTAGGGAGGTGATCCAGAAAAATGTATCTCACAGGGCAGAGCTCTGCTGTTTCAAAATGTCCCACTATCTCCAGTTCTGTCTATATAAGGAAGTCAAATGTGATTAAGCTGATTGATCAAGACTGTGTTGACATGAAAGCATTGGAGTGGGTATATTTTAGATATATGTACATAGTAATACTACTTTTGTTTTTTTTTGTTTTCTGCAGGCCATGGAGTTCAGTTCCAAAGACCTGGCTTTACAGGCACAGAAGAAGATACTCAGCCGTGTGGCCACCAAGTCGATGGTCAACATGTTCATTGATGAGACCAGCAGCGAAGTTCTAGATGAGCTGTACAGGGTTTCCAAAGAGTACACAAAGAATAAGACAGAGTCACAAAAAGTCATCAAGGACTTGATAAAGGTGGCGGTCAAAATAGGTGTATTGTATCGACACAACCGTTTCAGTCCCGAGGAGCTGGTGTTGGCCAATGATTTCAAGAACAAGTTGCACAATGGAGCCATGACTGCCATTAGCTTTTATGAAGTGGAATTCACTTTTGAGAAAGGCGTTTTGCCTCAGATACTTATGGAGTGTAAAAACTTACTTCTTCGTCTTGTGGAGAAACATCTGACACCTAAATCACTTGGGCGAATCCAACATGTTTTCAATCACTTTGCAGATCAAGAGATGCTGACCCAGCTCTACAACCCAAAGGGGGAATTACGACCCCATCTGCAGAAAATCTGCAATGGAATGAACAAACTAATTGACGAAGGCAAATTGTGAAGAGATATGTAAATAATGCAATGAGGGAACAAAGGAAGTACGCATGAGGTTTCTGGCCCAGTTATGCGTGGACCTTGAGAGACAATAATGCTTCTTAATTAATTGAAGCTCCATGCCAAAGGGACACATAGGCTGCATTGCAATAACAGCTGGGCTACTATTGTACAGCAAGCCATGGATATAATATTGCACATTTTAACAGGCGTGCTATTTTATTTTTGTATTCAGGCTGTTTATAAAAGTTTAAATTAAGATAAAATATATATGGGGGAAAAAGAGGAACTCTTTTATTAAGCATATTGAGACTCCAGAAGAAACCAGAAGGTCACATCAGTTTCCAGTACTTCTTAAGAAAAAAATATATATATATGTGTGTGTGTGTTTTAAATATATAAGATCAGTTTTACATTTCTAAATGTTCTGGTTATCTGACACTGGAGTTTTGAACCATGTTGTGTTCACATTTTAACTGCTCAGCACAAATCTTGCAGATTGGCATAAACATTATATTAAAATGCTCTGTGGACCTTGTACGTTTGGCCAATCAAAGGTTTTTTTTTTTTTTTTTTCTGTTTGTTTGTATCTGTTTTGTTCAAAATGTTGAGAAAGACGTTGCCAAGTTTTACTTCCCTTTATGATGAAATACAGATTTTATTTTGATGTAAGATTGTGTGTAGTTTCAGGACATCCTGTAATATTTCGTTTCAGTCAGTAATGTAAAATGTATGTAATTTTCATGCTATCTTAAAAGATACATGTAGTTTCCAAATGTCCTGGGATGTGCATGTACTTTCAGACTGCCCTGTACCATACATGTAGTTTTAGCCTGTTTTCTAACACATATACTTACAGATTGTTTGATGTATGTAGTTTTATAACATCATATAGGATACAAACTATTCAGTAACATCCAAGTAGTTTCAGACTGTCCTGTAAGATACATGCAGTTTCTCTCTGTCCTGTAAGATACATGCAGTTTCACCCTGTCCTGTAAGATACATGCAGTTTCACCCTGTCCTGTAAGATACATGCAGTTTCACCCTGTCCTGTAAGATACATGCAGTTTCAGGCTGTCCTGTAAGATACATGCAGTTTTACTCTGTCCCTTAAGATACATGCAATTTCACCCTGTCCTGTAAGATACATGCAGTTTCAGGCTGTCCTGTAAGATACATGCAGTTTCAGGCTGTCCTGTAAGATACATGCAGTTTCACCCTGTCCTGTAAGATACATGCAGTTTCAGACTGTCCTGTAAGATACATGCAGTTTCAGGCTGTCCTGTAAGATACATGCAGTTTCAGACTGTCCTGTAAGATACATGCAGTTTCAGGCTGTCCTGTAAGATATATGCAGTTTCATGCTGTCCTGTAAGATACATGCAGTTTCAGGCTGTCCTGTAAGATACATGCAGTTTCAGACTGTCCTGTAAGATACATGCAGTTTCAGACTGTCTTGTAAGATACATGCAGTTTCACCCTGTCCTGTAAGATATATGCAGTTTCACCCTGTCCTCTAAGATGCATGCAGTTTCAGGCTGTCCTGTAAGATACATGTAGTTTCAGACTGTCCTGTAAGATACATGCAGTTTCAGACTGTCTTGTAAGATACATGCAGTTTCAGACTGTCCTGTAAGATATATGCAGTTTCAGGCTGTCCTGCAAGATACATGCAGTTTCAAGCTGTCCTGTAAGATACATGCAGTTTCAGACTGTCTTGTAAGATACA